TGCAGCTTTATAAAATATTTTTTCTTTTGGAATGTGACGTAGATGGGTAGGTAGGTAGGTAGGTAGGTAGGTAGGTACCTACGTGCAATGCTACTAATGCATAAATTATGATATTCTTAACATTTCGATGATTTTTTTTTTGACCATGTAAAAGTGAAATCTTACCTTCCAAATAACATCAGAGAATTCTCTCTCTCTCTTTATATATATATATATATATGTAATGTATGTGTGTGTGTGTGTTGGGTACCTTGACGTGGTGTAATGATTAGCTTGTCAATTCCGACGGAGACTTAGAAGAAGGGACGAAGCATAAACTACAAGAAGACACAATGCATGGTCATCTGTAAAAGGATGAGCCCGAAATGTGATTTGCAGGTCGGGAACACTAGAATCAAGCAGACGCGGAAGTTTTGGGAAGTGTTTTGACAGAGGACGATAAGTGTGTCACTGAGATCTGTAGACGTATTTGGATGGCCAAAGACGCATTCCAATCTGGGCAGAGTATTGCGAGACAGGAGGAGCTGTTGTTTACGGCAGCGAATGTTGGACGATTTCCTCAAAGATGAAGAAGAAAGATAGGAGATATGGTTCTACAAAAGTATGCTAAGGATATCATGGACCGACCATGTGAGCAATGATGAGGTCTTAGAGTATAAACCTCCTCCTTGTTTGCAAACAAGAAGGAGGTTTATACTTAACACGAGGAAAAGGCAGCTGAAGTTTCTCGTACACATAATGAGGAAGGATGGCCTGGAGAATCTGATACCCACGGGTCGAATAGACGGAAAGAGAGACAAGGGAAAACAATGCGAGACATACCTAGCGGGCTTAAGCAAGTGGATGACAGAACGTGGTCTGGAGGAGGAAGCAGAGAGAAGGACCTTGTTGAGAGCTGCAAGGGATAGAGGGAGGTGGAGAGCCAGGATCGCCTAGCCCTGAAAGGCTCATAAAAAGTAAAAGTGAGTTTGACCTTCATTGGGTGCTCCATACTTTCCGTCTTCTGCCACACCTAAGCTAAGCTTAGAAAATCACAATATATATATATATATATCTTTCTGTGTGTGTGTACGTGTGTGTGTGTGCGTGCGTGCGTTTGTGTGTTTGCGTATGTCCATACTTGTGCGTGCGTGTGTCTGTGTGTTTGCATGGGAATGTCAGGATGTCTGATTGTGGGCGTATGACTACGTGGTTGTGTGTTTATGCGTGTCTGCGTATGTATGCCTTTTGTGTGTGTATTTGTGTGTGTATCTGTGCATGTCAGTGTATCTTTGTGCATGCCCGCGTGTTTGCTTGCGTGCGTGTGTGTGTCTGTATAGGGCCAAAACAGAACAAATTATAAGAAACTTAAAGTGTCCAAAGAAGAAGGGGTAACGTAACTCTTATCAGCGCTGAAAGTGGGCCGAATTCCAGTAACCGTCACGTCAGTTACGCTTACTTGCTCAAAACAGCCCTTCAGAAAGGCACAAATCCATCTCTTTACGCCTCCGTTCACAGAGTTATGGAAAGAAAGGTAAACTGGACTTTCTAGACTTGAATCGAATCCAATCTAGAAAGATATTTCTGAATTCAGAACCGTGGAGAATGCAACGGGAAACTCCTCCACTATATTTCCAAACAAAACTCATCTAAATAAATAAATGTGAAACTCTGTTTGTTCGTCTGTGTGTCTGAAACCCCTTTAACTCGGGCCACAATTGCTCTACAGAAAGATGTTATACCTTTTTGGAATCAGAATGGCCCCGGGAATTGAAAATCTGTCCTTCACCTGGTGCTTGAAAATCTAGTATTGGGATTTGTGCCCGGATGAGATAGGAACAATTACAAATTCAAATTTTAAAATAAATGAAAAAAATTAATAAAAGTTTTTAATTTATATTCAGTTTAAAATAACACAAAAACCTTGTAAATTTAAAAAGAATTGTTTCAAATTCAATTTAAAATATCTCCAAAACTTTGTGAATTGAGAAAATCAATTTTATTTCTTCAAAATGCCAAGGAATCAGAGTTAAAGTGAGAGGTTTCGTGACGTGAGGTTTTGAAGCTCCAAGAATTTATGATTTGAAGAACTTCATTTTCGGCCTGAATTGGAATTTCGGTTCAAATCGGAGTTTCGAAATCCGTCTCTTGGTCAGAATTAGGCTTATAGCCCGAATTAGAATTAAATTGAAGTTTTGAAGTTCCATGGAGTGAATGGAGGAATTCAATGTTATTGCTTCAAAATTATCACTGCTGTTTTCTAAGCTGAACCAGAGGTCCTACTTTTTGGCCTGAGGCCCAATTTGCCCTCCACATGGGCAAGCTTAAAAGTTCGCACGGAGCGCGATTATAATCTTTACTTTGGACCCTTTTACATTAGTGCCGAAGGAATTACGATAAAAAACAAACAAACGAGGAAATTTGCCGACGCCTTGCTTCCTGCATTTGTTTGTTTTAAGGAAGTTGAATGAAAAGAGTATTACGTGTGGGATGATTTGCATGCAGTTATCTAGATTAGCAATCATTTGTTATTTGCTGTAAAATCTTTTTGTAATCCAGAAAGCGGCATGCACGTGTTTGTTCGCAGATACGTGTGTATCTGAAAGTGAATAGTGACGAAATATATATATATATATATATATATATATATATATATATATATATATATATATATTTTAAGCGTTTCACCCCAAGCAAGGCGAGAAGCCACTAGGACGCAAGGGGTTACAGAAAATTTGGAGCGAGATCAGATAGGAGTGATGGAAGAAAGGATGAGGAGAAGGGAAGTGGATAGATCAAGGCATCTGGAAATGTCGATGGATATTACACTTGAATAGCTGGAGATTATAGCTCTCAGGGAAACTGGAATAGGGAATGGAGTTCCCCAGCCGAGAGGTGCGAGACATGAAGCTATTGGAGTAGAAGAGACGGCTACATTTAGGAGATTCGACAGTGAAAGGGTGAGAGCGGGATGCCAGCCTCGTAGGGCGCTCGAACTCATGAAGTCCGGGAACCAGCAAATACAGCTCCTCGGAGCAATTGCCATAAAAGTACTTGTAAAACAGACAGAGAGAGGCGACGGCGTGTCTGTGAGAAAGTGACTGTAGACAAGATGCCAGAGCAGGGCCAATTATATTGCATATCCGCCTCTGGAGCCTATCAAGAACCCTGAGGCAAACAGAAGGGGCTCAAGACCATATATGGCAGCAATACTCCATGCAAGGGTGAATTGTTGATTTGTAGATCTGGAGGATCGATTCCGGGGAGAAAAATTTCCTGACGCGGCACAGGGAGCCAACTTTTCTTGTGGTGGACGAAGCAATTGACTCAATGTATTTGTTCCATCTCAGGTCAGCAGTCAACGTGAGACCGAGCAGCCGCAGAGAGGTGCTCTCAAGAAGTTGAGCGTCAGACATTCTAATGGAGGGCAGGGAAGGATCTCTGTGGTGATTAATAGGGAGCAGTTTTGTTTTTGAAACATTAAAGTTGACAATTCCTGACCCAGTTCACAGCCGATTGGAGGTCCTTTTCGAGACGCACGGCCAGGTTAGTTTTGTCAGTGACACTAGATTTGTTTTTGAGGCAGGAATAAATTGTGGTGTCATCCGCGTAGATGCCAACTTGGGAATTTATGGCGTCAGGAAGGTCATTTATGTAGATAAGGAATAGAGTGGGGCCTAGGATGGAGCCTTGAGGTACACCTGCGTTCGTGGGATAGGAACTGGAGGAGAATCCGTTGAGAACGACCTTCAATTCACGGTTTGACAGGAATGATTGTATTAGGTCAAACAATCGACCCGGAATGCCATAACCCTGGAGCTTGCGAAGAAGGCCGACATATGAAACCCTATCAAACGCTTTGGAGATGTCTAGGGCCACGGCACGAGCTTCCTCGTTATTTTGAAGAGCTTGGTAGACAGTTTCAGTGATGGCCGTAAGCACATCAGCTGTAGATCGGGCAAAGCGGAAGCCATATTTCTTGTCTGAGAGCAGATCATGGGATGTGAGGTGGTTAACCACCTCGACATTGATTAGGGCTTCGAAGACTTTGCCGAAGAGGGGTAGGAGACTTATAGGATGGTAGTTAGAAGGGTCAGAGGGCTCGCCAGAGTTCTTGAAGACAGGAACAATTGAAAAGGACTTCCAGCAGTCAGGAAAACAAGATTCCTTGTGGCAGTAGTTATATAGTTTAGAGAGGGCGGGCGCCAGTTCAGGCGCGCATTTCTTCAAGACAATGGCTGGTATCCCATCTCAACCACTAGCCTTGTTGGGGTCTACATTGGAGATAATGCCCAATACCAAAGACGGGGTTATGTGTAACCCACTCAATAGGTCCTTAGTTCTAAGAGGGAAGTCGGGTGTGGGTACACCGGAAGGTTCGAGCATTGAGTTGAATGAAAATTTCCGAGCAAAGCATTCAGCCTTGTCGGCAGAGGAGGTCAGGTCTTCGAACTGGTTGAACAAAGGAGGTATAGAGGGTTTGCAATTTTTCAGTATGCTCTTGCAGAGACGCCAATAGTCTTTGGAGCCAAATTTGCGAGATGCAATACGCTCCTTCATCCGAGCCGCAAATAGTGACTTAGCATCGTTATGGGCGGAGGCAAAGAGACGTCTATTGCAGTCAGACATGTCGCTACGAAATAGGTGAAAGAAGTGGTTCCTATGGGCGATGGCGGCTGAGCAAGCAGCGGAGAACCAGGGGGAGGGGCGCGACTTGACCCTATATTTCCTTGAGGGGATGAAAGCGTCGATTCCAGCTTTAACCCAGGATGAAGCACATTCTTGGACGGGGAGCGTAAAGACAACATCCCAGGGGACATCGCGGAGGAAATCACGGAACGAGTCCCAGTCAGACCGTTGATAGTAGAACGAAGTTCTAGTGGTAGGAGGTTCTTTGCAGGGGGTGGAGTTGAAGGAGATGTTAACAGATACTACCGCATGATCAGAGTTACCAAGAGGGCAGAGTTGCGTGGCGCTACATGACTCGGGGATGGAGGTAAAACACAGATCGAGAAGAGAGGCTTTACCTTCCCTGTTGAAGGCAAAACGAGTGGGGAAGTTAACTATCTGCGTAAGGGATTGAGAGACTGAAAAATTGAACGTTTGAATGCCTGCGTGGTCAGTAGTAGCATTCTTAAGCCACATGGTATGATGGGCGTTAAAGTCGCCAAACACAAATATGTGAGCAAACGGGTGGAGGGAGAGAGCCTTGTCTATGCTGTCAAAAATGCTATCGAGTATCCCACAGTCTTGAGAGGATGGAGAGCGGTAAAGGAAGAAGAGATAGCTTACCGCATTGAGAAGAGATAGTCGGAGACACATGTACGACTGGTCTGGCGATTCGAGAGACAACTCTCTGGCCAGAGGGATATGGTCCTTGACGTAGACACTAAGGCCGTGCATGTGGGTTAAAGAGTCTTTTCTGAGGAGAGGAAGGTAGCCTGGGATCGAGAGATCAGAGGAGGGGATAGATGAGACAAGGTTGGTCTCACAGAGAGCCAGTATATCCGGGCAGTCTGCAGAGAGGAAAGATTCCATACTTCAGAAGTTTGTTCTAATGCCACGGATGTTGGAGAACGAAATGTTGAGGGGTTTTGGTGATTTTTGAGTGGCTGGTTTAGGATTACTTTTTCGGTCTTTGTAAGTCATGTGGAGTTTTGGTTGGAAGATGAGAAGACCCGAAGTAAAAGAAGCAGACAGTTATCGACCGTGACGTGGGCAGAGCGGAGTTGGCACAACCTGCATCATAATGTGGCCTCAGGGTTGCCCACCGGATGTGACTGCAGGGACACTTTTCCATGCGTGACATGGCACTACAAACACCCCGGTATTATACAACTGTTGATCAAAGCGGCCGCTCAAGACTCTACGCAAGACTTAGGGCTCCTAACTAGCAGAAACAGCAGCCAGAGAACTGTCAACCGTGTACCCTCAGAATGAAGAGGTGATGCCGCAAACTGCACCTATCACGGGAGTAACAGAGCAGCACTAAATATCATTGTACGCTAGCAATTTAAAGCGTTTATAAAGGACTGTACATATTTTCATAACGAAACTCATAAAACCTTAAAACGTTTTCATAAGACGATCTTTAAGGAGTTTTCATCTCGGGATTTAAGATGTTTTCATTGCGAGACATGGAGACGTTTTCTTAATGGAGTACATCAAACTTTAAGACGTTTTCATAGCTGGACGCATAAATTTTTAAGACGTTTTCAAAGTGGGGATTTAAAACTTTTTCATTGCGGGATTTACAACATTTTCATAGAAGGACGTATAAATCTTTTAGTCGTTTTCATAGAAGGGATTTAAGACTTATTCTTAGCGACATTTACGACTTTTTCATAGAGGAATTTAATTTTTTAAGCTGTTTTCATAGAGGGATTTAAAATTTTCCGTGGTTGGATTCACGACATTTTCATATAGGAACGTAAAAAACATTAAGACGTTTTCAAAGAGGGGATGTAAGAGTTATTCATAGTGAGATTTACGACATTTTCATAGAGTGACTTTAAAAACCTTCAAGACCTTTTCATAGAAGAATTTACGAATTTTTCACCGAGTGACATATAAATCTTCAAATTGTTTTCATAGAGGGATTTTCGACATAGAGGGGCATAAAATCTTTTCTCTACTACACTAGAAATAAATCCGCAACAATATCCTGTTAAACACTGTTCCAATTAAAATGCTTGATACACAAATGTCATGGTCAGTTGTCTCATAAGTTGATGGCCTTCTATGTCCCAGTAAAATAGTTCTATGTGGAAGAGATTCTGCAGGTCGAAATCTGGTCCACCATATGCCGTTATTGCTCAGTGCGATAGAAATTTGGCTAGTTTGGTTGCCAAGCAATAGACTGAATTCATCTTATTGTCTCTGAAACTATTCCAGTACTGTTTGGCTGTGGGCATTGTCCCGCTGAAAAATGCCACAAAAGACTTCTTACATAAAATAATGTACTTGGACTTCAACGATATGGACGGAGGTGGTGTGCTAAAATTACCTTCTGTAAGAATGATATGACCCAAGTTTCAGGTACTATATGTTATGATCCAATGTTTCAGGTACTATATGTTGTGATCCATTCCATCATTCTCCTTGGATAAAGCTATCTAAAACTGTTTTTTATAGTAAGGTTCACTATGTAAAAAACCCGGGAGGTACTCGAGGTAGATAGTTACAGTAAGAGGCAGTTTATGCAGCTTAACCTTAGAACTGAACAGGCTAAGATTGTAGTGATCGAGGAAATACCCTCTTAGAAGTCGGTTCCACAGGGTTGTGGTTCGCAGGAAGAAACTGTTCGCGTGGAACTTACTTCTCACTAATGGAATATGGAGAGAATATAGGTGGTTTGCTACAATGTGAGTGTGCGTTGTTTACTTGAGCCTTAGAGGACTGGCCGTTTACAACTAGCTTCAGGTTTGGTTTGGTTTATTTTGCTTTACGGCATATGAACCTCAATGGGTTATTTAATGCCGACAAGATTTTTAGGATAGGTTCGTATGAATAGAATATGTATTCTTTGTAAGAAATCAGTTTGTTTTGTTTTGTTTTACGGCATATCAGCCACAATGGGTTATTTAATGCTGACAAAATTTCCTTTTTTTTTTCCAAAAATGTATAACTGGTAATATTTTTTCCAAAAAATGTATATCTGGTAATAATTTTTTTCAAAAATGTATAGTTTGGTTTGTTTTGTGACATATTAAGCTCAATGGGTTATTTAATGCTGACAAGATTTTTATTTCTGGTAATATTTTCTTTTTTCAAAAATTTATTGCAGATACTAATTTTTTTACAACGTGTTTCTGGTATTAAAATCTATATTTACATTTTTATAGTCTGGTTGTGGGGTCAACTATTTGCCCATAGCTGGGACCCTAACAGGTGCTACCAACCCGGGTCAGGGTGGACCTGGGAACACCAGCAATTAAGAGGTGATTCCATGCTCCTCAAAACCAACTGGTCAGAGGCCTTGCTGGTGGACGTAGTTTAATGTCATACCCAGGACGGCAACTACCTTCAGGGACCTACCTATTAGGAAGGACTTGATAACTGAGAAGACTCCACCAGCGATTCTATAACTAAAGAGCTTGTACAGCAACTCCCTATACCATGCCTTAGCAAATGCTTTTTAAGTATGAAATGCGATAGTCCTTGGAATACATTTGTTGTTTCGCGCTTCACTGATTCAGTGAGTAATCACAATAGGGATATCAAAAATGGACTGAGCCGATCAAAGTCCGTATTCCTTGTCGCTCAAGAGGTTGTCCCTGTTGAAGTGATCAACAACATTCTTGTTAAATGAAATAAAAAATAAAGAGACCAGGCCAGTGAACATTTTTAAGCATTTCACCCCAAAGCAAAGTGGGAGTGCCACGAGCACTCAAGGGGTTACAGAGAGTGAAAGTAAGAATAAAGAGGGGTGTTTGAGGAAAGGATAAAGAGATAGACGGGAATCAAGATCAACGCATCAGAAGATGTCGATTGACATTACATTTAAATTTTTGAAGATTAATCAGGGAAGCAAGTAAGAGGAAGGGAGTTCCACTGTCGAGAAGTGCGAGAAAAGAAGCTCTTGGAGTAGAAGAGGCGGTTACATTTAACTGTTTCAATATTAAAAGGATGGAACCGATATGCCAACCTAGTAGCACGCTTAAACTCATGCAGTTGGAGCACCAGTGAAAATATTTCGTCAGGGCAGTTGCCTTGAAAATATTTGTAGAAAAGACAGAGGTAAGCCACATCACGTCTATGAGAAAGTGACTAGTGTCGAGTTGCCAGGTCAGAATTTATCCCAATGCATAATTATTGTTTAAGATAAATGTTGTACCTATAGCGAATGTAGATATAGGGATGAACACTACATCGGAATCGTCGGTGTCATGCCTCTTACGGTCTTCTGACCATTTAGAGAGTTTATATTTGATTTAGTAATGCTTCAGACATGTTTTTGTTTGGGGTGGGGGATGCATGCATTCTCTGAGTCCCTCATGGTGTTGTGCAAGTTGTTGGTGGCTCTGTAATGGTTCAGGTTGCTTTCTCATAGATTTCGCAAAAAATACAAGTGAAACTGGTGTCTGTCGTCGAGGACGGGTGTTAGGTATTTAGATTTTGTTGCAGATCCCATTGGAACCGCTTTTATTCATGCCACGTTTTTCGGTAGTGATAATCTAAAACCGGTTCCAGAAACACTTGGGTGACTTTCATAAACAGATAGAGATGGAAACGGATTGAAATAGATAGAAATAAAAGTAGAAATGGAAAGACTGGGGGAGACAGATAAATAGATTGAGAGAGAGAGAGGGGGGGAGAAGGAGAGAGAGAGATAAGAGCAAACTGAAGTAGGGTATGAACATAAGCTAGCTAGCTGAGATACAGTAAATTGATCAAGATAAACAGGTATGAGATGGGTAAACTGATGGATATATATAGAAACAAACAGACTGCAATATATATATATATATATATATATATATATATATATATATATATATATATATATATATAATTATTTATTTATATTTATATATATATAATTATTTATTTATTTATTTATATATATATATATATATATATATATATATATATATATAGAGAGAGAGAGAGAGAGAGAGATAATGAACAGAGAAAGAAAGAAAAAGATGTGTAGAGATTGACATGGAGACAGACACACATCAAAATAGGTAGATAGAGATACAAACACTGTAATGGATAGATACATAATGAACAAAGATAAAGATAATTAGGAGAGATTGACATATACATAGATAGATTGATAGATAATGCACTTAAAGAGAAAAAAATATGAAGAGACTGACATAGATAAGTGAATACTGAGATAGTTATGGCCATAACATAGCTAACTAGTCGAGATAGATACGAAAAAAAATACCACACACACACACACGCACGCGCGCACACACACACACATATATATATATATATATAATTAATACTTCTCGTTTTCACTCTCGCGTGGTCATATGTGACGTCATGAGATGCGGTACGATTTTCGCTTCCAGCGTCTTATATGCACGAGTTTGTCGTTGCTTGGAAATCTTCCATGTAAACAGAAACAGACTATCATTATTGTTTAATATATTGTAATGTAATTGTCATCTTTGGTAATGGCTGATGTAAGCCGAAAGCTTAGATAGGATTCAAAAATATGTATCAATATTGTGATTTTCTTTCTTCGTTTAATGATGTTATTAAGCTTATCAGATGATATGAAAAGAATTTACATAAAATAAATAGACAACACTTGTCTATATTATTTAATGAAAATGCTACCGAAATACACACACAATATATATATATATATATATATATATATATATATATATATATATATATATACATATACAGGGTGTATCAAAAATAATTTTTCAAATATTAGGGATGGGTTCATCACATCAAAAGAAGGACAAAAGTTCATATGAACATATGTACCCAAATTCTTCGTTTTTGAGTTAATCATTTTAAACAAAGTTTGCGATAGATGGCGCTGTGTTGCCATGTAGACTAGGTTA